TGATCCCGGAGGGAGCGACCTAGGCCACACTTCATTCTGCTGCACGAGGGGTCACCCGGAGTCCGAGCCAACTCCATAGTCACGAACAATGACAACAGTAATCACTCATCTCAGAGGGAGGTTGTGAAGATGAAATGAGACGGCATAAACACAGAGCCTGGTGCCTAGTCACTTCACTTCCATTATGGGACTTCCACACGGCCAGACCAAGCCTGCAGTTGTGTGGTCAGATCCAGGAGGGACAAGATAAGAGGAGTTAGCAGCCGCTCTGAGGGGAAGAAGGTAGACAAGAACGGCAGCTGGCAGCCAGCGCAAGTCGTGTGGGACCCACAGGTGCTCAGAGAAGAAACCCATGGGGAGGGAGGCAAGCGCTGTCTGGGAATACATGAGAGACTGCGCTCTAGGAGGGAGTCTGGCTTGTTCTGCATGGCCCAGTGGCTCATATCACCTGCTCTGCGATGACCATCTTCAAACACAAAATCGCTGCCCTTAGCCAGTGAGTTCCTGGGAGAAACGGCAGACATGGCAAGGAGGGATCTGGTGATTGAAGATGCCGCCCCAGCCTTGAGCCAGTGGAAGGCAAAGATGGATTTTCGGTTTCCAGAAGGGTGAGTGTCCTACCGATTAAAAATAGTCGACTATAAGCAGTGAATGCGCTTCCAAAGGGGTAGCGAGTGAGCGCCTCGTTGCTGGAGGAATTCAAGCAGTGGTTGGAACGCTCTGGGCAGGGGCAGCACACATCCAAAGCCCTGAATGACCTTGAAAGCAAGAGTCTCTGAGTTCCATTCATCCAACACTGTTGTCTCTCCAAATGAGGCGGGGCCCACCTTGGAGAACCTCCTTTGGGTTTAGGGGTACAGGCCTTGAGTAGACCCAAGGGTGGTGGTTCCTCCAAGCATGAGAATGGGTTTCATTTGGAGAAAGAGCTCAGCATCTGAGCACCCAGTCTGGTGACTGACCTGGGTGATGAATTAGGCGGCCTGGCTCTGTACTGTAAAGTCAGGCTCGCTCTGTTTGTGTCTAGTGAACTCACTCTGTGAGCAAGAGCTGCTCCAAACTGCTGGGTCTTGTTCATCCAGCGCCGTCTTTGTTCCACCTCTTCCTCTAGAATGCTGAGAAGACAAATTCTGTTTCTGAAAGACCCCCCCGGACCCCTCTCTGCCGCCCAGCACAGTCCAGAGCTTACAGTAGGTACTGAACAAGCCTGCACTGCCTGGTGGTGTCTATTCACTCAGGGCCCCAGGAGCTGCAGTTCAAATCCAACAGGCTGCCCTCGGCATTACAAAGACCAGCAAACCGACCTGGCCCAGCCAATCCCTTACCCTTGAGAATTCCTCATCCCGGTAGCTGCAAACAACAGATGCCAGCAAGGCTGTGAGGTTGTAAACCTTAAAGATTGTCAGATGGTAGAGCCATGATAGAAAATGGCACAGCATGTCCTTCAAAAGCTAGGAATAGGAATTCCATCTGATCCAGTCCCCCCCACCCCCACCCCCACCGAGCATAGATCCAGAGAAAGAGCAGCGACAAAAACAGGCGCACAACATCCATGTTCACTGCAACATTGCTCACAATCGCAAAACGAGGGAAACCCCCCAAGGGGCTTCAATGGATGACTCTATCCACATGAACTGTGGTGCGTACATACAGCGGAGTGCTACACAGTGAAGACTAATGGCGAGGCTGTGAAACGTAATGTGCATGAACCTGGAGGACATTGTGCCGAGTGAAATAAGTTCATCCCAAGAAGGTCATTTGATGATACCACTTAAAAGAAAGCCAAGATTTATACACAGAAAGCAATATCCTTTGATGGACAGTTACCAGGGAAAGGGGTGGGGAGGGAGGAAGAATCCCTTACTAGATGGTACCAAACCATCTTCCACTGAGTTAATTCTGAGCCTGTACAACAGAGTAAGACTTCTCCCCTGGGGTTTCTGAGGCTGTAAATCTTTACAGAGCGAAAAACCTCATCTTTCTCCCTCCGAGTGGCTAATGGGCTTGAACTGCTGAGCCTGTGGCTAGCAGTCTAATGAGTAACCCAATATGCCATCAGGGGGTGTTAATGAAGGGAAAGGCATCTTAAGGCATAGGAGAAGTCAGCACAAAGTGTCCAAGGTACAATGAAGACTGAAGGCCATTGAACAATCAGGGACAGCCACAGTAACGGCTAGAGCACTGACAGTTCTGCAGCATTAACACTAAGAACCCGCCCCCCACAAGTTTTCGAGTGCTTTTTTAGGTAGATTCGTGTTATTATATAGGTGTGGACATGCAGCTACAAGGGAGCTTCAGAAAGCTCATGGGAAAATGGAATTATCTTTAAATTATCTTTAAGTTCCATTTTCCCATGAGCTTTTAAAAGCCCCTTCATATAGATCTACCTGTGGGCTTACTTGTATATGCTGCATACATATCCAAGGAGCCTTGGCGGTTTGGTGAGTTAAGCATTGGGCTGTTAACCACAAAGTCAGCAGTTCAAACGCATGGGAGAAAGATGGGTCTGTCTGCTCCTGTGAAGAGCTATAGCCTCGTGGACCCAAAGGAGAAGTTCTGCTTTGTCCATTAGGACCACTATAAGTCAGGGTCCATTTGATGCCAGTGAGGCTGAAGGGCACATATATTCACCTATGAGGTCATAAGCACAGAGGGCACAGTTATGCAGAAAGCTTAGATCCAAATACTCGGTGGGGCTGAGTTAGTAGGATTGAAGGTGAAGGACTATAGCCTTGGGGAACATCTAGGTCAATTGGCAGAACATAGTTTCACATCCTAGTTTGGTGAATTGCATCTGAGGACTTACAAGCTTATGAGCAGCCATCCAAGATGCAACCATTGGTCCCTTCCCATCTGAAGTCAAGAAGGAACCCAGAGACTCAAAGAAGCAGTCAGAACTAATGGCCCACAGGAACCACAGCCTCCTCTAGCCTGAGACCAGAAGAACTAGATGGTGTCCAGCTATCACCGCAGAAAGCTCTGACACAATAACAGGCACTGGTTAAAGTAGGAGAAAAACAGAACAAAATTCAAAATCATTGGCAAGATATGACAAAATAATAATTTATAAATTATCAAGGACTCATGAGGGAGGGGGGAGCAGGGAGGGAGGTGGAAAAAGAGGACCTGATGCCAGGGGCTTAAGTGGAGAGCAAATGTTTTGAGAATGATGGGGGCAATGAATGTAAAAATATGCTTTACACAATTGATGTATGTATGGGTTGTGATAAGAGTTGTATGAGCCCCTAATAAAATTATTTTAAAAAGTCACAATTACAGGCCTAAACAATACAGGGAAACTCCCAACCACATAATTCCAAGACACACCCATTTAACCTGGAACGGACGGCATGCACAGAAGTCACCTTTAAGCCAAATAACAGACTGGCCTGTAAAATTAACAACAGCATCTGCGAGGAATGTGTTCAACAATAGGAGACCAAACAGGCGACATTTACCCCCAAAGCAAAGATGAGAAGGTACGGAGGCCGGGGAGACCAGAGGGCTGAGAACGGGGAAGGCAGGATAGAAACAGAAGCGTGCTCACATGTTGTGGGGATACCAGGGAACAGTCTGTGTGTGAACTGCTGGGTGGGAAACTAATTTGCTGTCTACTTTCACCTAAAACACAAGAGGACGATCAAAACATGATCACTGTGACCAAAGTTACACAACAAAATCACCGATGAGGAAGAGAAGTCCTTAGACATCTCACCCACCATGCGGCCTGGAGTTCAAGTCCACAGAAGGATGGATTTAGCACATTCTTTGCTTGGCATAGTGGTCCTCAGGTTCACTCTTGTTGCCTGGAAGAGTCCCTACAGAGAATTCCCAGTCACACTCTGCCTCAAAGAAGGCCACTGTGCTTACTGCTGTCCCAGGGCCTTGAATAGAGTCTTCGGGACACAGATCCTAGGCTCCCTGCATCAAAATGAACACCCCCCCCAGGCTTAAAACAAAACCACACACCCAATGGCCTGGCTTGGCCAGCATGGTCTCAGGCTCTGGTAGGCTGGCACTAGGCATTTCCAGGCCAGCAGAGAAACTGGGTGGGGAAGAAAGCTGCATGGAGCCGATGTGGACCCAACACCCACCCCCTCCATTTTTTATGACATTGAAGTAATTATGGGCTGGGGGGCTGGCAGAGGCTCCCAAAGCCATGCACATAATGGACTGGTCGCCACTCCAGTCACCACAGAAAGGCAGGCTATATCCCATCTCTGAGCTGGAAGAAATGTGGGCTTCAGCTAATGTGGGCGAATCAAGGCCTCTCTGAAACTCCCAAGAGACTGCCTGTACCCACGCAGGGACTGCAGACTGGCAGGGGAGGTGAGTGATCTGAGAGGACTGGGGAAAGGGAGCCGGAGAGGAAGCTGGGCCTTCAGCGGGCTACCTGCAGAAGGTCCCCGGAGAGCAGCCACGAGCACCCTGCCCTCAGTGGATCCAGCCTCCCCATGAAGACGATGCTCCGTGCTTGCATGGGCCACTGAGTCAGCCCAGGAGTGCCCACCAGACCGGGCAGGCTGGCATTCTGTGCTCAACAGGAGAAAGTGCACTGGCTACTGACAGAGCTGTAGGCACACAGTGACCTGCCTCAACAGACGATCCAGGGCTCATTAGTCTCACAAATGAGCCAGCACTCAGCCTCCCCTGGTACTTGAACCTTTGACCAGGAAGCAGGCCTCGGTCTTGGTGCCCTGCACCCATGGGCCGCAGCCGCATCTCTTCCCCCTGCAGAGCCCCATCTACAGGTATTTCACCAGAAGTCAGAGTCGTCTACGTAGACCCGGGGGCCCCTAGACACACACCACATCACTGGCCCCACATGGCTCCAGGCTCCATGCTGCCTCCACCTCCACTGGGGTAGCCACCCTGAGGCACCCAGCCGGCACCCAGGAACTCAGCGTGCACGTTCCACAGCCCTTTCCCCCTCCCCCATCCCCTCCCCCATCAGCACTCGGGGCCGCTGACCCCGCAGACCCCAGACTCACCGCTGGAGCAGTCGGGCCCTCCCCAGCCGGGCTCGCAGTGGCAGGTGTCCGGGGAGACGCAGCGGCCGTGCATGCACTCTTCCGTACACAGGGCTGCAGGGGACAGGAGGGAGGGAGGAAGGAGCGAACAGTGAAAACCAACCATCGAGTCAGGGGCACCACCCACCCTGCCCCGCGGTCCCCCAGGCCCCGGGCTGCTCGGTTTAGGCCGGGAATCAAGCTCCTTCTGACTGCTGTCCTTCATGGGACTCCTGAGTGACTCTGAGAAAGGGGCACTTAATGCCGCCCCCCCCCCCCTCTGTTCTACAGTGGGGCCCAAGCCCAAGATGGCTACCACCCCAAGCCGGAACCCTGAGCCCCATGGCTCAGACAGCAGCCTGATGTCTTTCTGCAGAGGCCCTGACATGTATCAGGTAGCCTGAAAAGGCCAGGTTCCCCGACTTTCCCCCACCTGCCTTCCCTCCTCCCCAAATGTCCCTATTTTGGGGGCTCTCAAATGTCAGCAAATCTGCAAAGTACACAAACGCTGGGGGGTGGGGGGCAGGGGAAGCAATAGCTAATTATAAGAAAGTAATTAAGAAAGACATCCACGATGATGATAATTGTAATTAGAAAGTGCCTGGCAATTTCTTATCATGCAGTCAAACGCGCCAGCCTCCCAGGTTGGGAGGCGGCAGCGCCGTTGCCGCCACTGCTGCAGCTCGGGGAGGCTTTACTGGCAGCAGTTGGAGCAGAAGCTGATTTCTCTCTGCCCTTTGACAGAACCTACCTTTCCTCAAGGTCACCCTGGCTCCTGTGAGATCTGCCCCACCGTCTAATCCATCAGCAGGATTACAGAAAGCCCCCACCCCACCCTGCCCTGAGCCACCGCCACCGATTTCAAAAGTTCGGAAAATCAGCAACTACCACCAACCCTGTCCGTTTCTTAGAAGGGATCTAGAGGTTGCACCTCTCTCTGGAAACAGCGACAGGCCGTCTGGCAGTGCTGGCCAAGGCTGTCAAGTCGGTGGCCCCTATAGTAAGTCTTAAAAGGCTGCCATCATGCCGCAAACACCCACCCCATGGGCACGCTGTCTGGGCACTCCCTGAATTCCCACCACGAGGCACTGTCGGACTAATGACCAAAAACATCAAGCTGATTCCAATCCAGAGCGCCCAGTGTGCCCGGAGCTGAGCCTTTCTCCGGTGGCACTGCTTGGAGGGTTAGAATGGTTGATGGGGTCCTCCCAAACACAGGCAGGGACCCTGAAACTGTCGGCTCGGCTTTGCCCAGGCCAGGAGCCAATGCCCTGCGAGGTAGACCCTCGGGAGAGTCATTTCAGGGCCACCATCCTCCCAATCTCCCTGCCAAGGGTCTGGAGCCACCCTGCCTTCTGATGAGGTAGGGGCATGGGGGTGGGGGAGGCGCCCTGGTGTCTGAGCGCCTCTCATCTGTACAGGGCCTCTCAAGAGGGTTGGGCTCATGCTGAGACTTGGGCAGCACCCAGCTTGGAGCCCGGTCAGCTAACCCAGCTCTCCACTGACAGCTTGCCCGGCTGCCCGCAAGGCCCCAGCTGGCCATTCCTGCTCCCCTCTTCCCACTGAGCCTTCCAGATACACTCCATGTCTCCCAATACACACCAGAACCAAGGGCCCCCCCAGCCCCCATCACAAGCCAGCTCCTTGGTCCAGCCCTGGCCTCAGCCTCTCCTTCCCGTGCCCCCTCCCTAAGGCTGGGGTCCCAGCCAACCAGCCCCTCTCTTCACCTTGTCAGAGACTGGCTAGCTCCACCACCCCCAACCCCCTGTGCCCGGCTGCAGGGAGCAAGACCTTGATCCCCAGGATTTCTGCCAGGGGCAGTGACTCATGACCCGGACAGGTATCAGGACTAGAAGAGAGCTCAGAGAAACTCTCTGACCACCCCTTCTTCATATACACCTGGACATGGGACCCTAGACTACAGCCAGCCAGGAAGGAGTGTGAGACAGAGGTGGGTGAAAGTGGGAGAAGTGAGAGGTAGCCAC